GATATCAAGAATGAGATGACAAGCGTAATAATGACTTTACCAATGAAAACCAATTTCAATGTCAAATCTAAGTTTCCTCAGCAATGAATAAGGAGATTAAGAAAACTAAGATGTCTTCAAAAGACATCCAAGTTTGCCTGATGTTATGAACTAAACAATGATTTATGGTATTAAGCTAATTCAATAATGAAAAACTTACTGTTCTGAGATGGCTGCAGGGTTAACGGTAAGGACAGTGAGTGTGAAGGAACCTTCCCAATATTGGAAACATTTGCCAGTTCGCAGACTTCAAAATCCCAAAATCTAATAGAAGTAGGTTTTGTCTCAATTTGCGTGGAAATCCCCACTTCTGAGGCACTTCTTGCAAGTGGACACTGTTCCTTCCTCTCTCGTTGGGGCGATGGTGACAAAAGCGGCGGATGCGACGGTTCGGATCTACATACCACATAGTAATCCCCTATGTGATTAAGCTGCGCTTGTGCATAACGGAAAGAGATGCTCTGCAGCCGATCCAAAAATCGTGGAATAGCCTTATCAGATTTGGAAATAAACGAAAGATCGATGCTTTCCCATCCAATCGCTCGCATCAGATCTAGCAAAACATCAGATGCGCCAGAATTAGCCCCCTTTTTATAACGTATGCAAGCCTTGGATAAAAGAGCGTATGAGTGACTGATATGAAATGGCATTAGTACAGCGGAGGATGGAACAATGTTCAAAAGAAGGGACTTCGTGTTCTCCATATGGCGAAGGACCGCCTCCACTGTGGAAACAAGCAGAGGCTGCAGTAAACGCTGTGAGCATACCACTTCATCTTGAAGGAGCCATCGAAATATTTGTGTGGTGCGCCGTAATGCTATCCACTGTTCATTATCAAGGCATCGAAGAAACTCGGAGTCACTGAGAGCCCTACAGATACTGCATGGACTTGCTGCTTCTGAAACTTCTAAGTGACACTCGCACCAGTGCAGCGAGCAGAGGAAATCACCGTCTTCAAATGCCTCAGATGAAATAGAAGCGGTACGGAGGGAAGGATGGATTTTTGGTGGTGGAAGTGGAAGTGAATGTCGAAGGATATTATTGCCAAGAGTGTAATTACCTGCTCCACAAAATGGCAGAACCCTTTCACCATCAGAAATACTGCTACCGTTGGAAGATTCACTCATTTCTTCCACGGGACCTAGGTGCCCACCAGGACTGGTAGCAGTTCCTGAAGATTCCTGACGAACTGGGGACTCAGCACTAGCATTGGAGAAGGATATTCTAACTTTTGGCTTCCAAACAAGAGGAATAAAAGTTACAGTGAGGCTGAGTTCTTGCAGATTCACCTCATCGGAGCTGGGCAGGACATCCAAGAGGCATATTGGGAGGTTTTTGACGGGAAGTTGGACCTCCACACCTCCATGCTTGAGCTCTAGCATAACTTTTAAAAAGAGAGGTTTCTTATGGGACATCAGTTGATCCTCATTAGGAGCTAATAACTCCGCGCATATTGCACTCTCTTTTTTCTCCTCAACTGTTTCAATCCGTTCTCTCTTCCTGATTTCCTCAGTATCGCTTCCGGATCTCGAAGAGGTAGAAAACATAACTTGTCGGCTACCCGAAACAACAGACTTCTGATATTCCGGTGGAGAATTCGTCGGAGGCGAAGCAAGGATGTTCGAAATTGACCCAGGAATGGGCGAAGTATCAAAGCGTTGCGTGGTCGACCGATGAACACGAGACTGCGTTGTTTTCTCTCCTCCGTGAAAGTAATATAAACCAGGAAATTGTGCTATCGGGGAGAAGTATTGATTGAGCACAGCAGAGAGGCGACTGCGAATCCGTTCATGATCGTTTGCACGCAACTCACACCCCTCGGAACGTTTTTTCTTGCATGAAAACGAAGTAAGGCTTTGGGAGCCACATTTACTAAACTGATTCCTAAAAGCACTGAAACAGTGAGAGCAAGTAGAACAGAGAAATTCTGTTGCATCAATGTTGATGGCAGGAAGGGAGGAACAGAACTGTTCTGATGTGAGAACACGCCTTATTGCTGCTTCCGAGATCACAGCTTCGTGCAATAGAGTCCGATGCGCACATTCAACGAA